AAGGCTTGAGTCCACGACTTGTAGCTTGTGTGCTTAGTCCTGAAAAATGGCCACAAATGCTCGGAGATGTTTGCGAAGATAGACTTTATTTTGTTAAAATTCTTGAAATAATATTAAAAAATATGTTGTTCCCCGGATGTAACTAAAATTGGGAACGGGGAACGTGGNAGTTGAAGAAGTCGCCTGGGATGACATTCTCAACACCCGAATGCAAGTACCAGATATTCGAGTCTCATCAATCATTTCATTGTATCTAACAGGTGTACCTGCAGTCATTGTAGCGCATTCTTGTATCGGCTCGTGAGTTTAGGTGCTGTAGGATAGGGAAGTCGCTTGTTGTTTGCCAACTGATACTTGTAATCAATTAAACAAGCAATTTACCGCTCAAATTTTATTGGTCCGATTCAATTAATTGGTCAAATGGTGGAGCTGTTAGTAACAAGGCGATAACAGGGGGAGGAGTCCACTTTTTTCCAATTAGTCCAAATACGGTGTGTATGTCTACAGTCTCTCTATTCTTCTTGCTCGCTTCGCTCGCAAACCCCACCGCCTACCCGTGCGTCCTTTGCGCTAGCTTCCCTCGCTTTTTCTTTGGCGTGCGTAAATAGACAGGCTGTGAACAGTCTATAAAGCTTTTTTAGTTTGTAGCGAAGCGCGCTTAATTAAACAAAGGAAGTTTTGCATGACTTTAGTTTCCGATTGTTAATATTTACTACAAGATCATGTTGGTAGTAGCTACTAATTAGTCTCTGATGGCACGAACCTTCCGAGGAATTGGAAGAATGGTCAGCCAGAAAAATCGAAGAATGGTACAAAATCGTATCATATTGGTTTGTTTGCACGCGTTATTTCGTGATGCATGTGTGCATAGTTTAATTTGCTTTAACGAGTGTCTCGCTTAAAACATATCACTGCCTGCACATGCTTATACAACGAGGTATTCATTGCGTGGGTTCGGGTTGTCTGTTTGCATGCACTATTTTGTGTTGCATATCTGCTTCTAGGAGCGTCTCCTTTAAAACGTATCACTTGCCTGGTATACATAGCACTTCTTTTTAACGCACTTTGCCTGTTGTACGAGTTGTATGAGTTGACAAAGCCCCTACCTCAAACTTGGGCTGAAATATTCTACGTGTCTATAATGAAATACAGTCCGCCAGTTGCACGACTTGTACGTCTCTTACTTCTCGTACGTGTCGTACCACTTGAACGACTTGAATCATAGCATTCACGACTTGAACAAGTGGTGAGTATTGGACATGCATGGTGCAATTTCAAACAATTGAAAGTTAATTTAAAAGTATTCTTTTGCAGATCCAGTTGAAATTCAAGCGAGAGAACTACGAGTCAATCTTGCCTATGAAAACGTTCTAAGGACTGGAGAAGTGAAGGTTTATCGTGCGCGTATCATGGTGATTGGTCAGGCTCGTGCAGGAAAGACAAGTCTCATAAAATCCCTCCTAGGGTTGCCATTTGACCCTGAAGAGGACAGTACTTCGGGAATTGATCCTTCATCTTTTAGAATTGATGTTGATCAGGCCAAAGATTGGCAACGTACAGATCAAAACTTAGATGTGTCTCAATTTGCAGACGAGCTTGCGTCTATGGCAGCTGAAGAACTTGTCAAAAAAGGAACAGAGGCAGACTTGGCAGAGGAAAATAGATTGCACGCGAGTCAGGTTGGTGATATTAACTGGATGCGTTGACCTGAACATAAAATAACACTGTTTTTCATTTATTTTCCAGTTAAATTATTAACTAAAAGCAGAGATATATAGCAATTTTACGTCTTGGTAAGCATACAGTGTTATGCATATAGTGCACAATTGAGCTCGATTGTGTCGCTTACGGGCAGCAGGTAGAAGTATTGCAGACAAGCAAGGAAAGGACTATATTTTTATATATCTTTAACTGAAGGATATCTGGCCTTCGAAAATACTTCCCATTAGAAATCAATGTCAACTAAATAGGACCTGGCTAAATGTTCTCAGTTTTACAGCTGTCATGCACTGTTTTCCCGGTTGGGTGTGGTTTTTTTTTCAAAACTCGGTAATCGTTTAATATCCTTACTTAATGGGAAGATCATAATTTGCTAACTTTTTTGTATTCAGTGCTAGTACCAGGACTTGTACTCATACAATATATCAAGTTTCTTTCATATTTTTGTTTGTTACATGGCTGAACTGGTTTGCATTGGGGAAGCATTGATCGCGTAGTGGTGAGAGCCCTCGCCTCCCACCGATGTGGCCCGGGTTTGATTCCGGCCCGGTGCCAGATGTGGGTTAATTGAATTGATGCTGGTTCTCGCCTTGGTCCGAGGGTTTTTCTCCGGGTACTCCGGTTTTCCTCGAGCTCCCTCCACAAGAACCAACACTCTAAATGGCAATCCTACCAGGATAGAGGACCTGCATGAAAAATAGATAAGGCTGATGTGGCTTCCTCTCTAAATATTGTAATTTATTTTAAAAGTAGAATTCTGATTGGTTTATCAGCCCCTGGTCTTCCTGTGGTAACACTTTCTTGTTCTGGGTACCACAAGAACCTTACTCAATAATTTATTTAGCCCTAATTACCCATGAAATGGTGGTACTTTTGAGTGAAACTTCTGGCAATGTCAAGAAGAGTATTTAGCCCACTGCGTAGTCAAAAGGTCACACGCATTAACGATTAACTGTAAAACTGAAAACTTATTGAAATTATATACAACAATAAGTTAACTTTTTTGAGAAATTTATGTTTTAGGCTCTTATCGATGACGGTAAGACCAGCCACAAGGATTCAATTGCAACCGTTTCTCTGTCACCTGACAAAATGGAAGAGGCTCCTTTCGAAAATGATCGTGATGGTCATCATCAGAAAACTAAACTTCCTCAGTTGAAGATTGATCCCGCTTTACCTAAAGAACAATTCACACGTTGCCTTATTAAGTATTTGTTGGCTTTAAACCTACACCGTGATAACACATCCAAAGAACCAGTTGTCGATTTAGATCTGTGGGACTTTGCTGGACAGCATCTATATTATGCTTCGCATGCAGTGTTTTTATCTCATCAAGCAATATATCTACTGGTGTGTAATCTCAGCAAAGGATTAAACGACCCTGCTCAGCCTTATGTCAGACAAGGAGCTCATGAGGAACATTTAGAAAACCCCAATGATCAAACAAATCTGGATGATCTGTTGTCGTGGCTTGTTTCAGTCAGTGCTGTCTGTCCGTCAAAGCAAGGGATAGCTGAGGTGGAGCTTCCGTATGACCGCCCTCCAGTATTTATCGTAGGGACGCACGCCGATGAGCCATTTAAAAACATCAAGGAAATGAACTTAGAAATTCAGAAGGCAGTTTGTAGAAAGCACTATGCAAGCCACGTGATCCCTCGCTATATCTCTATTGATAACACACGTTCGTCATCAAACAATGGAGTTTGTGAACTGAAGGAAGAAATCATGAAAGTGTTAAAGCAAGAGCCGTACATGGGAAAGAAGATACCTGTCAGGTACATTAATTTGCACAGTGAGATCATATTCAATCCAACTGGGGGTCATTTCAGCCTTTTAGTATACCACTAAAACAGCTGAGAGGTCCGATGACTTAAATCGGCCAATCAGAAAGCTTTCAGTATTACCGTCCAACATTTGGGCCAGGCGAAGTCTTTCCTGCTTTCTTGTAATCATAAGTTACACTATAAATCATACTAACTGGGAAAAATATTAGCACTCTGTCCGAGTTTCTGTGAGACCTGGGATTAATATTATCACCGTAGGGCCATCGTGTTTAGTAACTAACACAGGTTTACTAATCGCGTCAGCCATTATGTTTAAGAAATTGAAGGAAAATTTTGTTAAACTGGACAAAGATATCTCAACTTAGACCTCATCAAATTTTACTGTCAATAAATCAGTTAATTAGCAATACAGTCATAAGTCACTGACTGAGCATTTGATTTGCCAACAGATGGTTTAACTTCGAAAAGGCGGTTAAAGAATTAGTTGCCGTAAATGTGCATTACTTGGATCTCGAACAACTTCGAATCATTGTCCAGGAAGTGTGCTTGATCAAAGACAAGAATGACTTTGATGTAATGCTGGAGTTCTATCAAGACCTTGGCTTGATTGTCAAGCATGGCAGTACGGTTGTACTACGGGCTCAGTGGCTGATTGACGTATTCAAGCAACTGATAACAATTCCATGTTACGAAAATATGGTACGAAACAGAAAACTTAAAGCGCCTGTAACTTTTAGTACTTTTTACTTTCTCGCCTGAATTTTTCACACCACTCAAAGAACCTCTCTGGAATAGTCTTTCTACTTGGGCAAAATGCGATTTTAGAATAATTCTCATCATTCACCTTAAGTTAGTTTCTCTCGTTAACAAAGAAGCTGTGACGTCACTACACGTATAAAGTTTTAGATAAAAGTCATTTAAAACTTACTTCCATCGATGCGAACACTCGCTAGTTTATTTTCTTTTATACATGACAAGAACGGAAGTCACTGGATCTACCACCCAACTCGCATTGTGAGACCATCTCCTTTGTTGACCGACCGTCCTACCGATTAATTAAAAAAAATGTTCAAATGTTGCTGTTTATAGTGGTCAAAGGGCTTAGCTACAACTAAAGAGTTTACAGGCATGCCACTTTTAAAAATTGAAAGAAATAAATATGTCAATTAAACATAATAGGATTCAAAATCCCTACTGCCGGGAGGCAGACCAGTTGACTATACACTAGCATAACCAAAGAGTTGAACTACACTGTACAGGGTCTACTGAGAAACAACTCCAGCTTCATGGTCAGAGTGGGACTTGTATCCGCGACCTCCATATTTATGCTCATGCTTATGCTTATGCTTATGTAACCCCGGTTCACACATATTTTTCTTATGCTTACGTTTATGCTTATGCTTATGCTTATGCTTATGCTTATGCTTATGTCAAAGTGTGAACCAGCCCTAACAACTCGGTCAAGCTGCCCCCTAAATTATTTGATTCACTGATCAATTGAGTGGACCAGATTTTATGGTTGTTCTTATTAGCTAAACTTTGTTTCTTGGGCAACAAAAAGATAAATATGCGAAACACAAATATTTCAGATTCGTGATATTTGCCCTCTGATCTTGGCACCTATACTGTAGAAGCTGGTTAAAATTTCTTGTTTATGCAGGAGAGTCGTCAGTTCACCTAAAACATTTTTCATTGTTTTGTGCCATTTTGTGTTGTTTTTAGGAACCCAAATATATCAGTAGCTGGCGAGAGCTGGAGGAAGATGGTGTTCTTCAAATGGAATTTGCTTGTCACTTGCTTTCCAAATTTACTCAGCAAGCCTCTGTCCCTGAGAGCAAATCCATTACTGAGAAGGATATCTTAGGCATGATGGAGCGTTTTGGTTTAATCGCTAAGTTTGCTGATGGAATTTATTTCGTACCAGCCCAGCTCAGGTCGCCATCACCTGAAGATTTACTTGAAAAGGAGCCCACTTCCTTAGATCCTTGCCCACTGTACATCGACTTTCCGAGTGGTTTTGTGCCTCATGGTTTCTTCTCTCAGCTTGTTTCGCGATGCATCTGCTGGTGTTCTAAAACTTGTGACCTCCGTCCGAAGCTGTTCCACTGTGCAGCTCTGTTCTTTATTGGAAAGTCAATAAGGACTCATGAATTAACCCTTGTTTGCAAGAAACGGTTCATAAAGGTCATCGTAAAGCAAGTAGCCGACAAGTTGTCGGCTGAAGCAGAAGAGGTACCTTCTCTTGTGCGAGAGTTTCTAGAGGAGACTTTGAAATGTATAAAAACTGAGCTGCCATGGTTCCGTAATTTGAAGTACGAGTTACGGATCGCATGTCCTCTTTGCTCAGGAAAAATGTGTCGTGAGCACAAAGAAATCTGCACCCATGAAGACTGTTTATGCTTACTTGATGTGGTCAAACCAGGAGAACAGTTGTTTTGTCGCAAACGTAGTAAACAACTGAGAGTTCACAAACTGGACGAATGGTTTCCGCAAAGAATCAGGCTTCAGGTATGATTTTTATTTTTCCATAAATTCCACTTTAAAGTGAAGGATCTGGATCGGGAGGTATAGACATTGGTTACTGGTAAAAATTCTTCGGTCAGTTGTAATATTTTATTTTGTTTTCCAGTAAAGACTTAAAGGTAAAGTCGCGAGTTGTCAGTTAAATCTTATTCGGTTGACTGTTCGTCATTTGTACACCAGACTCCCGTAAAATATCAAATTTATAAGAGAGCACCGTGACTTTGAGAGAAATATTTTGTACTCCCTTGCAACCCACGTAGATTCATTCAGCAATTCTACTGGAATCGGTTCTATCATATGATATCATCCTAACCAAGGATAAATAGTGACTTATTGATAACCGAAAGTTAGGTCTTAACGGGATTATCTCAGACCGAGACCTTGCCGTATTGACTGAGCGATAGCAAGGTCAATACAGCAAGGCCGAGGTTTGGCATTTTCTCGTAACGACCAAACGTTCGAAGTTAATAAGTGGTTTATTATATGACTTTTTAAAACATAAACAAGTTGTTGACGAAAGTTTCAGTTTCTTCTTGGCTGTCAGTTCCATGGTCTTTTCCGACACCAACTCATTCGTAATTTAACGCTATGAATTCGCTGTTCTCCTGAAATTGTAGCTTGTCAGGGAAATAGAATACCTCTTCAGTCATCTTTTTCAGCCTCAGAAAACATTTTCAGGAAAAATGTTCAGAAAAAAGGCAATGTTTTTTAAAATACCTTTTGCTTTGTTTTCGTAGGCCCGTCGTTGGCTCGTGGGCATAACGGGAGAATCATGCCCTAGGATTAGCTAATCAGAGCACGCGTTACAAAAATTCTCAGCTACAAACACAAGCCATAAAATAATATGCATTCTACACGACTTTGAATTACTTCAGAGGGCCAATAACTAAAATCAACCAATATTCTCTAAACGTATTGGACCGGGAAGCCCCCTCCCCCCACATCCTTACCCTATTTATGACGTGACCAAAAATTCGATATCCTATTCATGACCGTTGCAGCTGGCACAGTTGCCCTAAACATAAGTTATGAAGGGCTTTTGTTGAGGGTCTTATAAATAATGATGAAAAAGTAGCTTCTTTTAAAAAAACATATCCAATGAATTCAAGACTAGAGTACAGAAACCATACGCGGTGGAAAATGGCTGAAAAACCATACCCTTTGGTATGCCTACATAGCCCATATAAGGAAGTACCACCCTCCCCCACGGTCCCGGATGATTACCTTAAAAGATTTTTTGGTGGTTTTATGGCCTACGTTTCTGAATGGACTTTTCTTTTTCTTTTCTTTTTCTTCCAACTCTTTTTCCCTTAAGTTTTGTTTAACATCAGTGTGGTAGATGTTATCGCGTTGTCAGTTTAGTAGGCCAAATCTCAAGGACATTTTATGGCATTTCTGTTTTAACTCTAACAGATAGAACGACTGCGAACCCGAGATCTTTATGTTACTCATTACATTATTTGTATTAGCCCACCATCACCATCTTAAGTACTGTTACCATTTTTTTTGATAGTTGTTATTTCTGTAATCTCTGTACATTTTGTTGTCTTCCAGGCTGCAAAGGACAAGACGGCCCGACCTCCTGTCGAAGGTGAGTACAAGTAGTCAATAGCGCTGATTGGGGCAGTAACCAATCAGGAGGCAGGGATCATACCACGTGACCAAGATTTTCCCATACATTCTCTTAAATTTGTAAATCCAAGATGGCGCCTTTGTTCAAAATGGCGCATGCGCAGATAGGACAACATGAAATCGAGGTTGTCACGTGCATGCCCAAATAAGGNCTCGATTTCATGTTGTCCTATCTGCGCATGCGCCATTTTGAACAAAGGCGCCATCTTGGATTTACAAATTTAAGAGAATGTATGGGAAAATCTTGGTCACGTGGTATGATCCCTGCCTCCTGATTGGTTACTGCCCCAATCAGCGCTATTGACTACTAGTACATACCAGTGTAGAAAACTGCGCACAGGAATCAAAAGTCAAAATCTAATGGTTTGAGTTTTTAACCAGGCAGTGTGGATATCCGACCGCTACAAGTTCGTTCAATTAGACAAAGTGATGTGCAAAGTTCTTCTTCACATGCAAGTGCAGATTTTTGAGCGCTTAATTTAGTGTTGCTCACATAAATACTGTTAACTTTTACGATCAGTCCTCGAGTAGCCAGTCCCGCTATTACCTGCACGAATGTACTAGTGAGATATACGCGGAATGTCTGCGGTCAAGTAGTTTCTAGCTTACGGCTCTGATAAGAAAACCATTTTAAAAGCGTCAACAGTAGATATCGAGAATCCTGAGACAGGTTTTTATTTTCACCAAAAATTTCATTTTGATGAATTATTTTCAGAAACTGAATATTGTTTTAATGTTGCGACATGCTTAAATCGGTTTTACGAAATCTAGGAGGATTTGAAATCCTTCTCGACCGAGCAAGAAGAGCGAATAGTGGCCGATGAAGTTCACGCAAGTATTTTGATTAAAAGCCAGTACAAAAAAGAACTTGCCTTGACTCTTGATATTACATAACATAGATGAAGTAAGAACCTGCGATTTAGAACCTAGATTTTTTCAACTTAGCCTAAATAGGTTCTTATAGAAATGGTATTTAGTGGGATTTTAGGTTACTTAGGCTCTTAAATAGGTTGTGAATTTGATAGGGGCACTAGCGTTAGCCTAACAGGTTCTTAAACAATTCGTTTTCTTTTTACCAGTAGGGTCAGTATGGTTATTCAGTGACGTACCCAGCCTTTTGGGTCATGGTTGCGGGAGGGGAGGGGGTGGAGGGGGATGCTATCTCGTCCGAAATAAGTCACCATCAAGAAAGTTAAGTTATAAAGCCGTTCAGAACGCATGCGTATGCCACCATGACTACAAACTTGTAATATAAGTGCAAACTTGTAATATAACACCAGCGTCTGCACGCATCTATGGAGGGGGAATTGGGACAAAAATGTAATTGAATCGAGTTTCATGCCATTAGACCATTAACGTCGTGCCATTGAATCATACGTCATTCTATCGTATAAATGGGTACCGGCAAATCGTTGGGAAAACCTAACAAATTGTTAGTGAGTGACCTGCGGTGGACTAGCATCCCGTCCAGGGGGAGTAGAATGCTCCTAGCCGCTTCATGCTACAGAAACCGGGATAAGTTCCGGCAGCTATGAGCCATTCGACTCCAAGGCTTCACTTTCACATAGGATCAGACCGGATGTTAGTTTCAATCTACTAGGGTTCTATCGCGAATGCCGTTCTCTGATTGGCTACGCTACTCACTATCTATTCTGTGATAGATAGTAAGTAGCGTAACAGTGTGCGCTTGTTAACAGAATGACGGCCGCTTCTTTGCGTTTTCGAGGTGTCTGTGAAGAGTATTTAGATAAAGGTTTGAACGACTAGTAGATTTAGACTAAAACAATTAGATTATTCGCTCTCAATTTCTATGCGATAGAAATCTCGAGCTCATAATCTAATTGTTTAATAGATAGTGAGTAGCGTAGCCTATCAGAGAACGGCATTCGTGATAGAACGCTAGTAGATTTATACTAACGACGTATGATTCAATGGCATGAAACTCGATTCAATTACATTTTTGTCCCAATTCCCCCTCCATATTGTAGTCACTTACCAGCTCTCATAAAACAGGTAATGTCTTAGAGTTGCGTTTCTTCTGAATGATACTTGAAAAATTCTATACGTCACAGTAGACCTTATTTGCAAAATTTTAAACTCGTGAAGGGGAGGGGGCGGGGTTCCGGAACTCATGGAGCCCTTCTCCGGGTACGCCCCAGTAATTCAATTTGCACATCCAATTTTCAGAGAAGGTCAACCTATGAGTTCTAAAGAACGAGATATGCTATGTGTCTTTCATACCTACTTAGTTCGTTTGGAAATTAAGCAAACTAGACGAAAAGCTGCTGTATAAAGGTCATTTTGCTAAATTGTTCCAGCTTCGATTATGTGGTCACGTTTTTAAAACGTGAAAAAAAGGCAAAACAACATATGACATAACATAACCTGTCTACAACTATTAAAAAATATATTTCCGAACATAGTTCACCAAAAGGATCTCTTTGATAAAATAAACAAAACCGGTAAGCCCCTTTTCTCGGGATTCTCGATTTTTACATGTACAAACAGACACTCTTAATTTCCTTCTCAGCCGCGGCACACCAGCTTGGGACCGGAAATGATCAGAATGTCTGCCAAGAAACTTTTCAAGGTGAGGAACTCTTGACTGTTTAAACATCTGTTGGTTTGCGAGGAGGCCCCAAGAATTTGTTCTTTGGTCTTTTATTTTTCGGACTAACCTCTGTCTCTAACTTCTACTGCTTGACTAACAAATGCACGCCCACTTAAATACCGTATCGGTAGCTATGTGTGGGTCACACGAGCAATTGTTGTTTGTTCCCACACGTATCCTCCTTGATATGTGGCGCGCTTCATTAGGGTGTTGGATCAGTGTGATGAGGGTGCCGTGAAAACTTTATCGACCTTATCGACTGCCTCTGCAGTAATCTGGTTAGGAGGGCATACCGTGCCCATTCTTTTAATCCTTCACAACTGCATTTGCCAGGTCTGATATATAACAAGCAAAGTACTGTTGCTCTTGGCTATCGACATGCCAAGAACATGTCGTCTGTCAACTATTGTTTTTCTATTTTACATGCAGCATCACGCCTACTGGTAAAGGGGTCTTTTGTTTTTTAACTTGCCGAGTGCATTCTTTTGATTTACGGCGGGCTCCGTGACTGGAATTGAGCCTGGGGTAATGATTCTTTTCGGCAGTCCTGAGAAAAAGGTCCGGTGACTATGAATAATCTGCGGAACAGACAGACACTTTGTTTGAAAGTAGGTTACAAAGAATAGGTGTGGAAACCAATCCCCTGTTTTTTGTTTTTTTTTTTCATTTTTTTTTTTTATTACGGTTGCACAGTACACCGCGGGAAAATAAACATTAGCCTTCATTTGGCGCAAAAATATGCTCCGATGTTTTTCCGCCGACATTATCTGTTCCGAGAAGCGAAAATTTTAGCGAGAGCTCAGCCAGAGGAAAACTGTGAGCTTTGAGGAACAGATAATGTCCAAGGACAAATATCGGAGCATATTTTCACGCCAAATGGAGGCTATCGTGGTTATTATCCTTCAGATGTTTTTCGAAACACGGGCAGTTTTGACAATTGGTGAATATCACTCAGATATTCACCAGGTTTAACTAGGAGCACGTTCAGTCACGTGACGAGCTTAGACCAGTTGCGAGAGAGCGAAAATATTTGATAATTATAAGTTCCAATAGTTTTACTTTCGCACGGGTAATGAAAATTTAAAAGGTTAGTGCACGTTTAACAAGTAATGTTACGTACATTCATGCTGTTCGTCGCCGTGTCCAAATCGTCACGTAAATGTCGCCTTTCATCGTTTGTCTTGTGTTTCCAATGTTGTAATTACGTGTAGTTTTTTCGTTCTTTAGGTAACGTATTTGTACCATTTTATTGTTCATAGAAACCACTGGTAGTAATATGTGTAGCTAAGTGTTAAATAAACCTCTACGTCGAATAGAGTACAGTTTCTGACGTAGTGGCTGAGCTGGATTAGTTTTGGGTGATAAAGATTGATTTACTTCAGTTTGTCTATTCATTGTTGCCCAAATATTTTTTGCCTGTAGTAATTTAACAGAACGAAATACTAATGACATTTTCTTGTTTGCACTGACAAAACTCTAATGTATTAGTTCGCTTTAATTAGCCATCATTTTACATGTCTTTAACTCTCAGTAAAATTATTTTCTCTTCACAGTTAAACAAGGCGAACCCACAAGGGATGAATTAATAGATTTGGGAGAAAAAATTGCCGAAAAATGGAAAACACTTGGGCGTCGCCTTGGTATTGAGGATCCGAAGGTTGAAGGAATAGAACGTCAATGTGACCAACTGAGTGAAAAAGGATACCAGATGTTAAGGCTTTGGAAACAGAAAGAAGGTTCAGCCGCGACTTACCAGGCTTTATGTGATGCATTAAAGCGTGTAGAGCGTAAAGACCTGGCAGAAGGATTTTGCTGCATTGACGGTAATGTCGTTTACATTATTAAATGTGGACATGGGAATGACATGGGAAGCTTACTTTTCCAGCCACCCCTCTCCCACCCAGGAGTATAAATCCATGCCTGCGAACTCTCAACAGAATGAATGGGGGAAGCCTACGATGCCGAGTACCATCAAATCTCGCATACAGTTAAACTTCACGAATGCTGCATCCCTACTATTAAGCAGACATAGACAAAGTCTAGAAGTATAAATGGTGATTATGATATTTAGGCCTATTGATCGGTATAGTCAGCATTTACACTTAAGGACGGTGCCTACTAAATACAAAGGTTTTTGCGCTAGGTAAGGACCTTGCGGAAAAGTAGATCGATAAGGAAAAAGAGGGTAGTCACGCATTTTTTCGAGATAATTAGCCTTGAATCTCAACAAAAATGCTGACATCAGCATTTTTCTGAAAATAGAAGGGGGAGATATTTCTTCACAGCTTTCTTTAGAATTCGCCTTTACATACAGAAAAGCAAACACATTTATAAAGATCTGAAAACTACATGGTAAATGGTAACATAAA